CAAACAACTGATCAGCTGTTTGTCGGCTCAGCGCGGCAGCCATGTAAATGTAAATGAAGCCGCGATCATTTAAATCGCGGCTTCATTTACCTTTGCCTACAACCCTAATCTACATGCCTCTGCCGACAGAGGCATGTAGTGTAGACACAGCCTAGGTGTATACATGTGATTACTATTATAATCCCTGATTTAGGCTCCTAATTCCTAGTTTTAAAAGTCACGTAGGCTACATCCAGACTGCGGGCTTCTTTCGGAAGAAGCTTTTCCAGAAGAGATCTGCTTTTTCGAAAGATAGCGTCCACATTGATTGGACACTATCTCGCATTTAAGTTGTGATTACTATGGACGGAGTGGCCACCAGGGAACCTGTGCTTTTTCCTGGAGGCCTCTTCTTTCGAAAAAAAATCCCCTTCCAAAAGAGCCGCGATGGCCACGCTCACTGCAATAACCAGTTTTTCTCCCAGAGGTTTTTCTTTAAAGACCTTCAAGGGAGGGTGAGTGGACTAGCCTCTCCCCTCACTATTTTTTGTCCCCCAATTAGACCGAATATCCGACAAGCCCATTGAATTTCCAGTCCCATGTTTTTTGTTGACCAAGCGTAGTCTGAACACAGGCTTCGCATTCTAGCAGGAGGCCTGTTTGTTTGGATTCATTCTGGTTTTCCGTCTTGCTTTTGCATCTTCTCCCCTCAACGCTTGTTGTTGGGTTATTGTGACAGCTCGTGAACTTTCACTTGCTCTTTCCGGTATTGCTCGTCACCGGGGCAAATTTGTAGGCCCAAGCTCCTAAGTCACGTAGGGCATAATTTTCGGGGAGTACAGGACGACTGTGGAAAACAAGGGAACAGAAATTGTCCCCTAAGCACCTTTACCATTGGGCCATACTTCCTTGCACACCCTGTGAAGTGTTTCAGTCTTTCTACTAGCTGAGATGTGGATTCTTAGGCTGTATCTGTGTGGCCAGCCTTTCCATTGGTCCCGGTGGTAACTTCGCTCTAAGCCCCAGAAGCAGGCTCTGTGTGGGGTCCAGTCTATTCCTGGACATGCCTGTGGGTGAACGTGCTTGCACTGTCATGTTGGTTTCATACCGGAGGATCGCTTGGCATGTTGTGTGCGTGAGAACTTGCAAAAACTCCACTCCTTTGCTCTACCTGCAGCGGGCACCTGGATCTCCTAGCTCCTCCCCCCCTTTCCGAATAGGAGGTCCTGTAGTGAATGGTGCATGAGCACTCTATTCCTGGACATGCCTGTGGGTGAACGTGCTTGCACTGTCATGTTGGTTTCATACCGGAGGATCGCTTGGCATGTTGTGTGCGTGAGAACTTGCAAAAACTCCACTCCTTTGCTCTACCTGCAGCGGGCACCTGGATCTCCTAGCTCCTCCCCCCCTTTCCGAATAGGAGGTCCTGTAGTGAATGGTGCATGAGCACAAGGGGTTTAGGTGCATTGGCTGGCTCTGATAGTTCATGGCCTCTCCCAGCAGTAGATGCTGTCGAGAATGGTGCACTATCGCCATCGCGGCTGGGGCAGAAGATCACAGTTGCTCATGCCATCAGGAGGAGTCCAGAGATCTTCCTCCTGGGTTTCACCTGTGCCGTTCTCTCTCCTCCTCCCCCCGCAGCGCATGTGGAGAACGAGGAGCAGTACAGCGAGTCTCTGGAGAACTTTGGTAACAACCACCTGTCCCAGAACAACCATGAGCTCTCCACTGGCTTCCTGAACCTGGCCGTCTTCACCAGAGAAGTGACCGCGCTTCTCAAGAACATGGTAAGAAGCCGCTGCTCCGACCCCGCGCCCTGCGTTTCATTGGTGGTGGAGGAAGTGTGAACAGACCCATCTGCATGGGTGACTCCAGCTATGGACCCTGGTAGCAGAGGGAGGGGCGTGGTACCTGAGAGCCGTACAATGATGGGGTGGGGTGTTAGACCTGCGAGCTGGGACAGCTCTTTGGGGTACACCCAATGTAGGGTATGCAAACCTTGGGGTATGTGTGCGCACATCATGTTCACAGGAGTACTTGCTGGGGCGCAAGCATACTATGGCTGAGCAACTCACTAGTTCAGGGGTGGGCAAAATATGGCCCGGCCCAGTGCGACCCTCGGGCAGGCTCCCTGTCTGCTACGGCACCACACGCCACTCAAAGCAGTGGGCTGCGGTGGCCAGCGTGCATGTCTGTGCATGGCATAGCCCTCACCCCCAGCACAACCCTCGCAGCTCCCATTGGCTGGAAACCAGCACAATCTTCCCAGCCACAGCCTGCACCGGACACCCAACCCCCTTCTGCATCCTGACACCCTCCCAGATCCTGCACCTCCCACTCCTATATCCCCTCCTCTGGGCCAGAATCCTCTCCTGCACCCAAACTCCCTCTTGTACCCCAGTCTCCTACCCTGAGCTCCCTTCTGCACCCAACCTCCATTAATACCCTGGCGCAGCCCTTGACCACTTATAAATTCATGATGTGCCCCCCCCATCAAAAACTATTGCACTAGCAGTAGCCACTTGCACATGCTGAGCCAGCTGTTTGTCCACCTGTGCCTGTCCTGGCGTTCCTACAGGAATGCTGAGCTCCTGCAATGATGCTGAGGCCGGTGTACATGCCCAGGGCAATGGCACGTGTACATGTTGCATGGTGGATGATACAGAAGCAGGTCTAGGGCTGGCCTGACCTTTCCGGGATCCGCACGTGCACAACAATGGGGCATTGTTTGGCAATGTGAGTCTTCTAGGGATCTTGGCTTCTGTTGGGCTCAACGTGGTGCTCAGCCCTGGGACAGGTAACTAACCAAGTGCTTTTCTTGGCCGGTACTGTGGTTGATAAGGTACAGGGGCAGGCCTCAGGCAGAAGGGGCGGGGCTTGCTTTCCCCAGCTGGGCCTTCACCCGCCACCAATGCGTTCCAGGCAGGTGACTCCTGGCAGGCCAGAGAGTATGGGGTCTATGTGACAAGCCAGCACCCAGATAGCCTAGCACAAGGGTTACATGCTGGCACCTGGATTGCCTTCAAGAGAGCAGGAGGCTGTTTGCTCCTCAAGTCCAGCCCCCAAACTCTCTCCTCACATCATGTGTCCTGCTGCTGCCCCTGTTCATCCGCCGCCCGAGGAGGGGGTGCTCGCTGCTCCCGTGGCAGGGGGCTGCCGGCTAGACCCATGGGGAGGGGCGAGCCCCTGGGGCACCCTGTCCTTCCACCCTCACCCTGCAGGAAGGCCTGGCATCCCTGTGCCGGTAACTGGCGCCAGGTGGCATTGCAGACTCCAGCTGCCTTGAGCCTGTGCACTGAGGTGGTCCCAGCTGCCGTGGCGCATCGGCCCCGGGGGCGGGCGTCCGTGCGCTGATGCTGGGAGTCCTGGTCTAATGATTTAAAATGGTTCTAATCCCCTCGTGTCCAGTCGCCCCCTCAGAGGCCACCCGCGTAGGGTGGCACACAGCAGGGCCCCCTCCCCCAGCCGCAACTGGGCCAGGCAAAGAACCGGGGGGGAGGGGATGGTTTCTAAAACATGTGCCCCTTTGGTTACGGGAGGGGCATTCGGGTGGGAGCCGGTGGAAAAGTCCTCAGCGCCAAGGAGCAGGGGTGGCCGCTTTGAAAGCCGATCCTTTGAGAGCTGGGGGTATGAAATGGGGTGGGGGAGAGCTTCAGAGCCGTACAGAGGGTGGATTTTTGCTCCCCTCTGCTCTTTGCAAGGCTGCTCCGCCTGTAACCCTTAGTCCTGGCCCGAGCTTCGCCCCCAGCTCTGGGCATGCCCCTCACGCCCAACCCACAGCCCCTCCGCTCTGCTAGCCCTGGCTCCCCCCCACCCCCGGACACACGGTGCTGGCAAAACTCCTCAGTCCTGACTCTCGGCCCCCATTCCGGGAAGGGGCGGGGGAGCAGTGAGTTGAGCCAGCGGAGCAAAGTGCTGAAATAGGGTCCTTAGGCCCTTCCAGGAAGATCCAACTGACCCTAGGCTGCAATCCAGGCTGGGACCGGGGCGGGTGAAGTGTCCCCTGCAGTCATCACAGCAAGTGTGTTCAGAGCTGCCCCTGCTGCTGCGGACGGCCACTCCCCCAGGCCACGGAGCACAACACTTTCGGGCGATGCTCCGGCGCGGGGCCCGGCTCCGTTCCTTGGCCTGCCTGGGCAGGTGCAGGCTTGTAACTTTCAGCAGCAAACTGTGTTTTCTCAGAGCAATTGATCCTGTTCCTTTCTAGGTTCCTGGCGGTGTTCAGGCTGCCCCCACCCCAGTCCCCCGTCGTATTTCCTCTTCCCCGCTTCGTCTTGGAAAGAGACTCGGATTCCTCGGACTCAGTCAGCCAAGGCCTCTGGCTTTGCTTGAGCTTTCTCTTTCTGCCAGTGTTTCCGCTTTCCCACCCCAGCCTCCGATCCTTGGCCAGTGATTTCCACCCCCCCCACCAAATACCGCTGCAGGATGAGGCCTGGTGGCAAGAGTGGGAAGGACGGGGCATCCGGATGCCTGGGTCCGTTCCCGTCGCTGGAAGGGAGAAGGGATGTGAGAGCTGCCACGTGGGCTGGAGGCGCAGGAGCTCGTGGTTCTATTTCCCGGCTCTGCTGCTGACTCTCTAGAAACGTTCTCAAGTCCTGTTGGCTTTCCGTGCCTCAGTTTCCTCCATAAAACCATTGTCTGCCTCCTGGGGTTGGGAGGGTTAATTGCAAAGTGCTACATGTTAAGGGGGGAGGAAATCAGTGGTGCTCGCCCCATGAGCCCCCCTGGTTGTTACTCTTTGGGGCGGGTACGAAAAGTGGGGTCTTCCACCCTCTGCCTGCCTCCTGCTTTGCAAACTGGCAGCATGAACCTAAGACTGGCCGCACGGGCTCAGATCAAAGGTGCATCTAGCCCAGTATCCTGCCGATGGGAGCCAATACCAGATGCCCCAGAGGGAACGAAGGGAACAGGGAATCATCAAGCGATCCATCCCCTGTCGCCCATTCCCAGCATTTGACACCGAGGCTCGTGACAACATCCCTGCCCATCCTGGCAAGTAGCCATAGATGGACCTATA